AATGGCATCATTTCTTCAGTACCTGAATATTCGAAACAGCTGGTCAATTTCTGAGTCCCCTGGAAATAGTGCTCTTCTTGTAATCTGTAAAAAACAAGATCTGTCATATGGCAACTCCTTTTGTGGACCACATCCATTAAGAGTGGTGAACATTTTCTCAAAAGTAAATGTCCTAGCCTTTTAAAACAGATAAGTAGTTCAATTTATACAAAAAATGACCTGCAAACCATTTCTGCTGGTGAATTTTATTTTTAAAGTAACTTGTACTTGTTCAAACTGATAGATGGAAAGAGCTAGATGTACAGCTGCTGATCTAGGAAAATAATGACCAATTTCTCAAACAAGTACTGAAGGCGCAAGCTTCTAGGGGGGTCCGGAGGCATGAACCCCTGTGAAATTTTTTGGGATAACTCCCTAAAGAAACCTTTCCTGGGTTTCTGAGTCAATCAGACAGGATATTGGCCAGATTTCAACTTGGAAAGTTTATCTCTGTAAAAATAAAATTATTGATGAAATTATGACCGATTTTTGGAAAACAGTGGAAACCGGTGTTGATCCATTCCTGATATAAAAATGAGCTACAAACCATTTCTGCAAATATGCAGCCAATACTCCAGACATCCACTGGTGTTGAGTAATAGCGGCATCCTAAAAGAATTTCTGGGGCCCTGTACCAGAGAGTAACCACCTCATGGGTGTATGACCTAACAGGAAGCCCAATTGCCCTAGCCAGCCCAAAGTCAGCTAGTTTTATGGATCCCTGAGAGTCAATTAGGAGATTTTGGGGTTTTAAATCTCTGTGTAGGATTCGGTGTGAGTGACAGAATGCTATACCACTTAACAACTGGTAAAGGTAGCTCTGAAAATAAAAATAAAAGGTGAAAGTATTAGCTGGTACTAACTTAATGTAAGTTTTTTAAAAGGTCTCATGTGAAGCAGCTTATTTCCACAATGGTAATGTCAGTCTACTACCTTCATGATGGGAAGTCAACACAAAAAATAGGGACACTCCACAAAAAGTTGGCAGATTCAAGATTTACTTCCCTTACATTGAAGGAAATGAAACCGTTACTTCGGCCGCATAAAAGAACCAGCCTTAACCCATAGCATTCATTGGAATGGTATTTCAACCTAATGTTACATTATGCATCAAAACCTGCATTAAGTGGACACCCTACATTAAGCAGGCAGTGGGGAATTCCTCAAGGGCATCTACTAAATGTTGCTTCACCTATAGCACAAATTTGTTGTAGTTAAGACTACATGAAAACATTTTTCAACAGGTTGAAGGAGCAGTTTGGTTCACCTTTACTAGAGCCAATGAAATTCCACTTGCAGGCAAAGTGTCCATGTACTTTTTAAGGTCCCTATCAAGGAACTCAAAGACAAGGAACAGCTTTTTGTCATTATGAACAACATCTAGCAATCTGTCAAAGTCAAAGTAAATTAATTATTACAAGTTAATAAGCACCAGCATTTATGGGAACTCAAGTTTTGGAAAGATTTTTTGTGCAACTCCATAATTTATCATACAAGCAGCAATTTAATACTACTTTACACAGTTGTTACTAAGGGGAACATGGAGTGGGGAATGAGCACAGGGAAAAGCAAATTGAAAAGTGGGAACAAAGCAGACAATTGGAAATTAAGTTACCTATGGGGCTAAGGTTTGAGTTAGGTTTTGTTTCCATTTTTCAGTTTCCCGTTCCCCATTTCAGGGCCTGTTTACATAGAGGTGGGGGACCCCCAGGTAGGTGAGGTAACCTGTGGCAGATCACCCCACCTATCATGTAAACGTGATCAAATTAAAATGAGAGATTATAATGGACAGGCAGGTTACCTCACCTATCTGGGGTCTCCCACCTCCAAATAAACAGGCCCTTATTAGTAACATCCTATTTCATCAAATAGTTAATATGAAGAGTCAAAACATGTATGTATGGGGCTGTGTGGAAATCTTACCAAAGGTATTTTAAAAAATGGAGCTATTCTGGGAAGTCGAAAATGAAGGGAATTTCTAGAATAGTGTTTGTTAGGATAGAGGTGGAAGGAGATACCAGGCAACAAAATAATAAGAAAAACATCGTGAAAAACAAACCTTACATTGTAAGTGTTCAGTAATTTTACAAAAATGTGATGCAAGAACTGGTTTCATTCATTGTTAGTTTCTCAGTTCAAAAATCTCTCAAAGCTGGAACGAAAGGTACCAGCTATTTCACTCAACACGTGGATCTAATAGGTGACAATGAATTAATGATTTTGTCGCCTTCATACGGTTCGCTTATCTCGTGATTACCGACGGTCAGAAAATGAACAACAGTCTTTAAACATCTGCGCTCTAAGTTTTAGGATGTTGGGTGTGCTAAGTAAGAATTTAGGATTTGATTTAAAATAAATTTGCCTTTAAAAGCCATTCAAAAGAGCTAAAGAATGAACGCACACGCAATCACTTTATTAACCTGCGGAGAGCAAGTCACGACCACTCGGATGTAGCTTATAGTAAAATGCTGGTATTTAAAAAAAGAGCTCTTTTGTTTGAAACAAACCAAAGCGAAGATGGAATGACTATTTTTTTATCGTGAAGGTTTATTTCGTGTCCAGTGAAGTACGTCCCCCTGAGTATGACTTGAATAAGTATCTGCATGGTATTTTCATTGAAATCCTACCTTGCTTGCATGCATGTCAAGGTCGACTTCATATAAATAACTACGATATATGCTTAGTCGGCGCTTTAGAGAGAATTATCTCTACACATTTCGTCTTAAATACACGAGTGGAGAAGAGGAAACGGTACAAACTTACTCTAATATATGATTTATGTCGTAAATAGGCTTAATTGATGGTCGGCGTTGTAGGAAGCCATTCTACAGCAGTGAGGACCAAATATTTATGCGCAACATACCTTACTACGTTAGGGTGGTTTAGCTCTTTCAGTAAAGATATTTCTCTTATTGCTGTACTCGGAACACCGTCAGATTCCCTGAAAAAATAAAAAGCAGAACTTTCAGCACAGTTAACAAGCAAACAAAAGCCACTTTTGAAAGAGCAAATTTCAGTTCAGTCTAAACTTTATATTCTGCGCCGCTAAGGGCCAGAATGACTTTTATACTGCTCTTTAAATATCAGGTATAAATTTATTTCTCGATAAAATATTTCAAGCTAAAGGAACAAGAAAATCTTAATAAAGCAAACTCGGTTAATTGCGCAGTTTATTACGCATATTACTCACGTATCAAGGCGAATCTTTTTCAGGGCAACCGTTCTACCGGTTTCTTTGTCCATTGCTTTATACACAACTCCATACGTTCCTTCTCCAATTTTCTCGAGCTTTTGGAAAGCTTCCATTTAGGAACGAAGGAAAATAGCGAGGTTCCGGAGAAACCTCTTCGTAAAACTCGTTATACTGTATTTTCCTTCATACAGCAAACAGTCCCGCGAAGTTCCCGCTAGTTTGGTGCACTGGTGATTGGTTGGTGTTTCGCGCGCTATAATCTGATTGGTTCACACGCGGCATCTTTTCTCTTCTGATTGGCTTATTTCTCAATTGAGCCCTAATATAGTGTTTTTTCGGTCAGCGACTACCCCCCATCACAATAAGATGGCGGACGCCGAAAGCAGATAAACGGAGTTGAAAATTTTTGTAGATGTGTCCTGAGATATTCGTTTGATACTTTTTGGGACTGAAAAACGGTTAAAACCGTCAGTGAAACCACGACTCGTATTTCAGATAAGATATCCTAAACTGTACTAAATTGCCGGTCACAAGCACTTGAACTTCGATCGTAAGGTACCTCCGGCACGGGCGTATTGGATAACCAAATAAATTTTGGGTGGTCGCTTTTTTATACGGGGGCTTTGATTGTAAGAAAAAGTACAGTTCGTTCCTCACTGTAACTCTCCTGTGCACAAAATGGATGCCATTCAAAAGGCTCCGCATTCCGCATTGATTTCGCCCTACCCACCTGTAGGCCAGAATGACATATTTGTAAAATTAATTTTCGCTCCTTAATTCTTATTTGTAGTCAACTGAGCTCTCCAAGCCTGTACAATAATTCGTTTTTTTCATGATCTCGCATATTTTTGCATTTCATATATCAAAAGCTAAGAGCACGTTATAAAAAGTGATCACAGCAATGTCGACCTATTAAATAAATATATCTGCGCTGCGCCGACAGAAAATCAGGGATAACATTGAAGGAAAAATATGGAAACTACAGTCATTTCAATCAAAGAGTTGTGGCACGTTTTTTAAATAAAAACACATGTATAACTGGTACAACATAGGAAAGTTTGTGGAATACAAGCTTACAATTTTGTCATTCTTTTTAATGGGCCTTTTTGATAGGTTAATCCTGCAAGTTCCAACAGTCAGCAGATCCGAGAACTTCGCTTATCACTTAATGATCGAAAATGAGACCATCAAAAGCAAGAACATGTGTCATTACTTATAATACATTGCCACCATAAACACTACACAGAATAATTTAACGGTCATTTTAAGAAGGGCACTAGTGCCCAGCTAGAAGATTCTGAGATTCAAATGAAGTTGTTATTACACTGATATTAGGATTTAAAGAATTAATGGGTGTTCAGGTTCGGGGATTCAGCAGTGTTGTCTTGTCCAATGACTGGTGGTAGTGGGACTGCTACTCTGTTTATGTTGTTGCGGCCAACTCTTAGCACTAATTGCCCCACAGAGAGGACAGGTTTGTAATTGGTAACACTAACTCTCTGGAGAATGAAGTGAGATGGGCAATCAAATTGCTACCTCCTTATGAGTGGGAGTCTGCCTCCCTTCTACCCCACCCCAAAAATAGACTAGTAATGAAATACCCTATTCTGCAGATAGTTCAAGACTTGTCTTCGCTGTCGAGGAAAGGAACGATATTGACATTCAATTCAATTTTCAGGAAATTATAATGATTTTTATTGGAAATCACTTATATTTATCAGATATACAATGATTGCCTATGTCAAAAAGAAGTTTCGAAAAAAATAATTTATACAACAGCAGTCATCGCCCACTGCTTCACTTCAGTTGGACAGTCTGGGTATCTTTGGAGAGCATCATTTATTTGCATTGGATCTACTAATAAGGTAACAAGTTTGTATTCTTTAGGAGTATTTTTGGCCAAGCTGTCCAATGACTTCACAAATTCTAAAGCAGTCAAGTGTTCAAATGCCTGGGGAAAAGAACATAATAATTATTTATCAAGAAAATAATGTAACACTTAAATGAATTAATGCATTGATTAATATTGTGAATTATTTTTTCCGAGGTTTTCCTATAAAACATCTTTTTCAAAAACTGCATTTATTTGTAATTCATCAACTTAAAGAAAATACTAAACAAATCAATGTTTCATGATTGCTTTAAAAGCCTGCACGTGACTTACTTGCATGTAAGTAGAGGAAAGGGGCTTAATATACAATTCAGTAGGGCTGGAGAGATGAGAAGTCAAAGACTGGAGGTATGTGGATCAGGGAAGTCTATAGGAGGTAAGGAAGGCTGAGGGCAGGAATTGACAGATTCCCAAGGTGCAAGAGGTGAAAAACAAAAATTGGGGTCTGAGAAAAAAATTAGTTATTTTTTAAAAAAATAATTTTAAAAATATATTTTTTGATAATCACATTATATAATTACATTTACAATACTACAAAAAACATTTTAACAACAGACATTAACAGAATAAAGCAAAATTAATCATTCATAAAATCAGTTATTGGTTTTCTCTTTTTTCAGATACTGAGTAAGAGCCACAGTGGGTGGAGGGAAACTGTCAAGTACACTGTCTACTTTTCTACGTGCATGGCAGAAGTCAACATCTTACAGGGTTAAAAGCCAGCTGGGACCACCAACCAAGGAGTAGGAACTAGGATGGTAAGAAAGCAGGGAGAACAAGGAGGTCCAGGTAAGGACAAGGATGGTATGGGAGCAGGGGGTTGGAACCAGGATGATATGGGAGAAGGGAGTAGGAACCAGGATTATGTGGGAGCAGAGGGTAAGGACAAGAATGGTATGGGAGCAGGGAGTAGGAACCAGGATGATATGGGACAAAGGGGTAGGAACCAAGATTGTATGGGAGCAGGGAGTGAGAACAAGAATGGTATGGTAGCAGGGAGTAGGAACTAGGATGATATGGAAGAAAGGAAGTAGGAACCAGGATGATATGGGAGAAAGGGGTAGGAACCAAGGTGGTATGGGAGCAGGGGGTAAGAACCAGATTGGTATGGGAACGGGGGGGTTAGGAACCAGAATGAAATGGGACCTGATAGGAACCTGGACAGTATGGGATCATCAGAGAGGTAAGAACCAAGATGTTATGAGACAAGGGTGTAGGAAGCAGTATGGTATAGGATTAGGGGGTAGAATCCAGGAGGGCATAGGACCAGGGGATAGGAACCAGGATGTTATGGGAGCAAGGGATAGGAAACAGGACGGTATGAGGCCAGGAGTTAGAAAACAGGTTGGTATGACACAAGGGGGTAGGAACCAGGATGATATGGAATCATCAGGGGGTAGGAACAAGGATACTATAGGATCAGGGGTAGGAACCAGGATGGTATGGGATCAGGGGGTAGGGACCAGGATGTTATGGAATCAGGGGGTAGGAATCAAGCTGGTATGGGATCAGGGGGTAGAAACCGGGATAGTATGGGATCAGGTTGTAGAAACCAGGATGGTATGGGATCAGGGGCTAAAAACCAGGATGGCATGGGATTAGGGGGTAGAAACCAGGATAGTATTGGACAAGGAGGGTAGGAAACAGGATAGTATGGGAATTAGGAAATTCAGTACCCTAATCTTACACACCTCTCCCCTTGTTCTAAAATAAGGTTTTAATGGCTTTAATACAATCAACAAGAATTACCTTCAAAACAACAGGTTTTTCAAACGACTGAACAGCATGCCCTTTCTTCTGGGAAAATTTCTGATATTCTGCAAAATTAAAAATTGTTAAATTTCTTTAGTAGAAACAGTGCTGATGAAGTGAAATAAGACAACTGAATATTTAACTTTTAATGGTATGACATTATATACCTAAAAATACCAAAATGAATTAACAGAAGAAAAAAGGATAAGCACATTGANATGGGAGCAAGGGATAGGAAACAGGACGGTATGAGGCCAGGAGTTAGAAAACAGGTTGGTATGACACAAGGGGGTAGGAACCAGGATGATATGGAATCATCAGGGGGTAGGAACAAGGATACTATAGGATCAGGGGTAGGAACCAGGATGGTATGGGATCAGGGGGTAGGGACCAGGATGTTATGGAATCAGGGGGTAGGAATCAAGCTGGTATGGGATCAGGGGGTAGAAACCGGGATAGTATGGGATCAGGTTGTAGAAACCAGGATGGTATGGGATCAGGGGCTAAAAACCAGGATGGCATGGGATTAGGGGGTAGAAACCAGGATAGTATTGGACAAGGAGGGTAGGAAACAGGATAGTATGGGAATTAGGAAATTCAGTACCCTAATCTTACACACCTCTCCCCTTGTTCTAAAATAAGGTTTTAATGGCTTTAATACAATCAACAAGAATTACCTTCAAAACAACAGGTTTTTCAAACGACTGAACAGCATGCCCTTTCTTCTGGGAAAATTTCTGATATTCTGCAAAATTAAAAATTGTTAAATTTCTTTAGTAGAAACAGTGCTGATGAAGTGAAATAAGACAACTGAATATTTAACTTTTAATGGTATGACATTATATACCTAAAAATACCAAAATGAATTAACAGAAGAAAAAAGGATAAGCACATTGAAGTTACTAACATAAAAACATCATTACACATTTTAATAACTTAGCTAAAAATATTTTTTAAACACAGACTATCACTTAATGGAGCTCATGCTGTCCTTCTTGCACACATAGTATACAGATTTACAGTAGTAACAAGTTAGAGATTATTTCCTTTTTAAAAGCTGCATGGCCTATTCATGATCAGCAACTTTTGTTTGCTATGCAGCCAGACTACAATTAGAGACACTGTCATTTTTTAAGCCTGCATTCCACCCCATCTCTCTGAGGCAATGCTGGTCAAAAACTGACTGTAAATTTTGTTTCCTGTTCAGGCAAGATAATTCACACAGTAGAAAAAGAGGACAGCCCTATTGATTGCCCTAATGAATTTTGACACTGACGGAAGCTATAGACATATTGAGAAAATTTTTATTTTACATTTCCTAGAGTGGTCAAGTTTATCCTAGCATGGTACCCCCTGTCATATGACCTCTCTATTATGGTACCTATATTCTTTTATTCTGAACAAAGAAAATAGTCAGTCATTTTCTTGTGTTAGAACTCCCCTGACAAAACCAGTTTTTCATGGCCTTTGCACTGTTTTTCACTATTACTATGAAGAGCCAAATATTTTATATACCTTTGTAGACCATCTCAAAATTGAAAGGCTCTCCTTCATGCAATGTTGTCAGATGCTTCATGGCAATGATGAGGCACAGCTCCAGCACTGAAACACCTGCAAGAAGCAATGAGACACTACATAGTTAAGCAACATGTCCTGACTCAAAGCATCCCAGCCACTATGGTAACTTT